AAGTGTATGGTCAGTAAGCAACGTGTGTGGAAATGCTCATTTAAATGCGGTACCGTACTCTGTATTCTACAAAAGGGGCCGTCCATAAATGACGTCACGCACCTGGGGGGGGGGGGGGGTCAGACATTTGTGACGATGTGTGACGAGGCGGGGGGGGGGGGGGGTTTGAGAAATGTGACGTCACATCAAAATGCGCAACTTTAAATAAATATAGACAACACGTTCTACTTACTTAAATAGACTTTTTAATAAATGTTTTCTCCTACAACATCAGAGTGCAGCGCCACATTAAATACGAACTACAATGACAATAGTTTAAAGCGATTTGAAGTGTGTTTTATTTGGGGGGGGGGGGGGGGCAGAGCTTTGTGACGTCATATTTGAGGGGGGGGTCTGACTTTTTGTGACGCCGTGTGACGAGGGGGAGGGGGGTCAAAAATCGTCCAAAATCGCGTGACGTCATTTATGGACGGCCCCAAAGGCGCTGCTGTATTTAAGGGTTATCTCTAGAGATGGCTCGGTAGTTCCGAGGTGACGGTACCACGTAGTTACCAAAGAGTGCACAATTTGGTTTTGCACTGATTTGGTAATATTCTCGGACTGATCATTTAAATATCTCAATTTAAATATAATCGTCATGCGACACACTCTTAGCACTGTGCACGGGAAATTGTTTCCCCCTAATGTGTGAAGTGATTAAAAGCCACGTACATAATTTTTCAGTTCTGTGCAAAATGTCTCTTACAGCCCTTCTCTGACATCCAGGGGATGATGGCCGTGAGATCTTTGACTGGATTCTTTATCTCACAACATTACGCTGCGAGCACAATGGGATTAAAAGGAAGGGGGGCAACAACTCACGAAAAGACCCAAGGCATCACTCACTGTCTGTGTGTATGCTCATTGTTTGATGACACCGCATTGGCAGTGGCGCGCAAGTACAAACACATTCCTCCTGCGGAGGGAGCTGGTTAGGAACGTCGGGTTGCTCGCTCAATGGCCTGCAGGTTCAACGGCGACGTGGTGTATTCCGCAAATATGCCCGACTGTGAGGGCGGGCACAAGCCGGCGTGAGTAGGTGAAACGTTGAGTTTTATAAGGGCACCACGGGGTGGCCAGCCCCTCCCCACCCAGCCCCACCACTCCCACCCCCCACCCAGCCCCACACTCCCCAACCAGCCCCTCCCCACCCTCCCCACCCAGCCCCACCCTCCCCACCCCCTCCCCACCCTCCCCTCCCCACCCAGCCCCTCCCTCCCCACCCAGCCCCTCCCTGCACGACGGACGGACACAATAATCCCCTGTGGGCTGGTGTAACCAGGAGGTTCCTACCAGTATTAACAAATGCAATTCAACACATTCGTCAATTACATTGCTGCCTTAAATGTAAAATAGTATAGCTGACGTTTCAGACAAGAGCCCTGCATGTGGTATGAAAAACGCCCATTGCTTGAAACTTCACCTATTAGATGTATTTTTCTTTATAGGCAGTATTATTGACCGATGTTTTGCGATTTTGTATATGACGTACATTATTACAGCACTGTATATAAAATATGCATTATTGATATACATGTGCGAGCTTTTTAAATAAGTGTATGCCTGCATATATAATGGAAGTTTAGACTACTTAACGTACAGTATTAATCGAGGGGGAAGTGGTCCTGAGCTTTTGTTTACAGAATCCACGCAAAAGTGAACGCGACTCGCTGAGCTCAGCAACTTATTGCACATGCTTACCACACTAAAAAAATGCCCGGCTCTTGCAAAATATGTATGACCTTCAGTACAACCACACACATTGCACCGAGTTGCATGGCAAAGAACTCGCAGCTGTGCCAAGACAATCGAAGTGAACGTTCGTCCATCCTGCGGAATTCAATTAGCTCCACCGTGCATCGCCTCGTACTTTGAATTCCATTTTTTCAGACTGAGAACGGACAATCTATTTGAAGACGAGAAAGTTTCGAAATATGGACGTTGCGTCAAATGCAGGGAGTCAGCTGGAGGCAAAGAGAGAATAATTCAACGATCCGTCATTGGTGAATGGGTCAGATCGCGTGAACACAATGTGTGCCGTATACCCTCCCTCCACCCAACACGGCCGAATAAGTAAAATTGTCAGGTGAACAAAAAACATTGTTGCACATCTGTTCACGCGACAACTTAATTTGGGCTGTGTCAGGTGGACGAGGGTGTACAACACACATTTGCATAGTTCTCACACGTGTCATGGCTGAATAAACTGCTATTATTGATCACAATAATGGCAATGAAAGCCTACGTGTTGTTAAGCGATGAAGTGCCAGAGTGGGTTTAGGAAGATAATGGTCTTATTTGGATGATTTTCAACAATTCAGAGAAAGCAAAAATCTCTGGATTGAGCTTATTTTCAAGGTTGGGGAGGGGGTGCTGAAGGAAGCTCTATAGGGGAGCTGGGGGAAAGGCCAAGTGGCAGAAAATGAAAAGCACTACTTGACAACTCCAAGAAGGGTGGGGGGGGTATAGCGAGTATGATGAAATAAAAAGGAAAACACAAAATCGAAGGGGATGGGAAGGAACGTGAAGCAAGAGTCTGCCCTTGTTCATGGAACTCGAGACAATTACATTTTCATATCTGCTGTGCTTTTTTTGATTCATTAAACATAATTCACCATTGTACACTCACTGGATGAAATGTCTGACCCACGTTGGGAGGTCATAATGGGATTGGGAGAATGCAGCGTAGGCACAGTACAGGAAAGAAGCCACGGCAATACGCAGAGCCGACAATAATTGTCGCGCAAAGGCAACAACAAAAACGAATGCCCCCCTGATTATTTTCTACCCGAATGACCAGCATTGTATTAACACAGCAGACACATCTCGCGTCGGCCACATCTGCCTGAACAGTGTGGGCGCTGTGGCCACGCTGCGAGCACAGACGATGGTGTGTTCACATTTTGCGGTGTCTCGATCGGATCCGACAGCTGTACGGCGATGGGCCCATTTGAAGCTCGTTTTCTCTGCCGTGCGCTATAAATGATCCTGAGCGCTCGGAGTACGTGCTAGGCTTGTTGAGTCACGAGCCATTTAACTAGCTCGGGGGTTTTGTTTCTAAAGTTATATTTGAAGAAGCTGTCCTCGACTACATTTCATAAAGTTTATTCAGTATCAGGGTTTGTCTGATAATTATTGAGGATCTTTAACACAATACCTGGTGTTGTGTTATTATGACATCTTCCAAAAAAGGCAAAATCGATTTTTTTTATAAACAATGTACGCATGAAAACAATAATTTACAGCCATGTGTTAATCAACAGTTGAATGAAGGCCTCTCTATGCTCTGTCGGTCACGGTAGTTGTTTGACCATACTTCCCCACGCTGGCGAGTGAAGGTTGCCAAAGCATTTTTTTCGATTTAAAGCTTTCGTGACTGCAGGGATTTATCTTCTTGGTTTTTTCGGTAAAGTCACGTAGAAGGGAAGTAATAAAATAATAAATATGCTTAATTCCTCTTGATATGCACATCCTTTTGTTAAGGCGCTCTTCTTACACCCCCAACTCAGCTTATATATAAACTCCCAGCTTGACAGGTTCTCATTCTTCACCTGAAGACGGCTGCTTGCGTTGTAGCCGAAACGTCGTGAGAATTGTTTTATTATGTTTTATTTTTATTATTTTATTACTTCCCTTCTACGTGACTTTACCGAAAAAAACAAGAAGATGGTTGCCAAAGCAGTTCATTGTACAGGACTGGTTCCGTTATTATTCGCCGCTCACGTTAGCTGTGGCCTGCAAATTGAACTATTTACGCATTACAGTCTGCTTTTTTATTAGATGTACTAGCTGTACTACCCGGCTTCGCCCGGGACTTGTATCCACCACGGCCGGCCGCCTTTGTCTCCCCAGTGGCGATGTTAATACGCCACACCAGTTACTCGTTTGAGGCTGAGTCGACCTATGTGAGGTTAAAATAATCTTGATCGGTGGTGGCCATGAGCGGGAATCTAACTCGGTTCGCCGGGTTGGTAGCGCAGCGTAGCGTTAACCACTACACCCACCGCTCCTCACACACACAGACGCACACACACACAGACACACGCAGAAACACACAGACAGACACAGACAGACACAAAGACAGCACGCTAACCACTACACTACCGCTCCCCACACACCACACACGCAGACACACACACAGAACACACACACAGACAAACACACACACACAGACACACAGACAGCACGCTAACCACTACACTACCGCTCCCCACACACCACACACGCACACACACAGACACACACACAGACACACACACACAGACACACAGACACACACACACACAGACACACACAGGCAGCACGCTAAGCACTACACTACCGTTCCTCCTACACACCACACACGCACACACACAGACACACACACACAGACACACACACACAGACACACACACACAGACACACACACAGACACACACACACAGACACACACACACACACATAGACACAGGCAGTACGCTAAGCACTACACTAGCGTTCCCCCTACACAACACACGCGCGCGCGTCCATAGGTACACATACACGCGCTTGCTGCAGACACACACATACACACACATACATAACCGCACATACACACAAACACATACACACACATGCATACACACAAACATACACATACATACAAACACACACATACATACACACAAACACATACACAATACACACACACATACATACAGACACACACATACATACACACAAACACATACAGACAAATACATACACACATACATACAGACACACAGACATACACATAAACACATACACACATAGTCATGACCCGGCTTTGCCCGGGACTTGTATCCACCACGCCCGGCCGCCTTTGTCTCCCCAGTGGCGATGTTAATACGCCACACCAGTTACTCGTTTTGAGGCTGAGTCCCTCCCTCGCCACTCTGCCTCCCTCGCCACTCTGCCTCCCTCGCCACTCTGTAGAGGACGTGAAATTTGTATGAATTTACCTCAGAGTGGCGTGTTGGGTGTCGAGGCCTAGCACCGTGCAGAGCCTCCCGCCTTGCCTGATTTTCCCACCCGGCGAACGCTGGGTACGGGTGCCGGTCCCCCCCCCCCCCCCCCCCGCGCTATTAAAAATGGCGTCCACCCCGCGGAGAAAAGTTGCTACTCGTTGCCAGGGGCAACCGCCGTCCAATGAAAGCGGCGAAGGCGTGGCTAGCCGTTGCCAGGGGCAACCGCCGTCCAATGAAAGTGCAGTCCACACACACACACACAGACACACAGACATGAACGATTTTATATATATAGATAGATTAGAATTCTGTATTGAAATATTCTGAATCGTGAAAATGAGGCTCTTATTGAATTGGCCTTGGCAGGCGGTGTTTAAATAAACACAGCGGGCTGACATTTATGAGGACAATTTAGTGGCCTCAAGAGGCACATTGGCTGCCAATGCTGGCTATGGGCTTATGGAAGGTGATTAGTTTTTACCAATTTAAATATGATGCCATTCTGGTGATTCTTAAACACTTCAGTGGATTTTAATGTGCACAGCGAGTGGAAATCATTGGACCGAACGAAGGGAAGTGGCAGATTTATATGATATTTTCTTTCTCTGCGGGATCTTACGTTCTGGCATCTCGGAATTGAATCACGAGTAAGCTTCCCAGGTTTGAACCAAATATCTCAATTGTGCCGGCTCAACTAAGGCCTCCAAACTTGAGAGGCTCAACCAGGACACGTGGTGAGCTCAAAGCCCCTCTGCATTTTAGCCCTAGCTACCTTTTACATAACTGCATCGTGCTCCAAATCCCGCTTATATGGCCTCGTTCTCTGTCGTATTAGCCCCGGTTTGCTGCATGTACATCAGCCATATGAAAGAAGAAGACCGGTCACATGCCACATCTACTCCTCTGCCAATCACACCCACTGGTTCAGTAAACCTTGCCCATTGAGCTTTATCATTAGTTGAGTGTGAAGGCAGTACATTTTAAACTTGGAAAAAAAAATCCAGATTTGTAGCCAACGCTTCAGAGGCACCAGGATATCCTATTTGCAACCGGGATTATCCCGGCCAAAATCGGGACGTTTATTGTGGCCTCGGGCTTAGTCCTGCGACATGAGCATTGGGCCCCCGTGAGCCAACCGAGTGCCACCTCTCTGCCACTCACCGAGTGTTGTTGGCAAAGGTCACGAGGGAGTTGCGCAAACACAGAACATTTTGTGCCACCCCCACGGGCGGTGCTGGTGGTGGTGGTGCGTGCAGTCACTTCAGTTCTGGCCGATAACC